AATTTCAAAGTTTCTGAATTCTTTATCAGAAAACAAACAAAGGAAATGAAATAAATAAAATTTTACATAAACGAAAAGCTAATATAAAACATTAACTTGTAATCAATATTTATTAATCGTTTAAAATAAATTAAAATAACATGACTATATCTCTTGATTCTTAGCTATATTTAAACACTTCATTCCATTAATTATTATTATTAAAATTTTGAATAATGCGAAAACAGATTTGGCATTTTTTGAACAAAAATTAATTCTTAACATTTGCAGAAAAAATTTCGTTTAATTAAATACAAAACGTTACGAATTATCGGAATACAAAAAAAGAAACAAAAGGAAAATATAATAAATTTATGGACGAAAATTGAATTGCAGCCTTTTATTGCAGCCTCTATCAACTATAAATGTAAAGTAGGTTTAAATATATTAAAAAAAAATTAAAAATATAAAGAAATTATTGCCTAATTCTAACCTTAAATGTATCAAGATTTCGTGTTTTTGAATTTATTTCTAATTTTAAATAAATAAGAATAAGGTTCTTATTTATTTAAATAAGATTCATAAAAACTATGATATTGGAATAAAATATAAAATAATAATTAATACCAAAAAATGTAAATTTCTTCAAACTGAGAGTACTTAGTGCCATCTATTTGGCAAAATTGGAACTTCTGTTTATACCTTGTTAAAACAAACCATGAGCAGTTATTATTGTAAAAAAGGACATCGCTCTTTTATTCATTCTTAATAAGTCTTTGTTATTTATAAAATATGATATATCTTACATTGACTGGAACTTGTGTTCGTCTCAAATTTTATTTAATAAATATTGAAACTAAATTGTAGGTGATAAATAAATATTTATTATTCCAATGTAGCAAAAGAACGCTTAAAGCATTTAAGTATCAATTATCAATTAATTAATTAGGGGATTATATTTATAACTAAATTTGCATTTTCATCCTAAGAATCTTGTAATATTTTATTTTTTCAGAGTCCTCGTGTTTTTGGAGGTAAAGTTGGTGAGTACAACTTTTCATTTATTAATTTATTTCCTTTTAATATAAAGCTCAACTATAATTTAAAATGTTAATATCAAAAAAAGACTGGCAAATCACAACCTCAAATGTTAATTATTTATTTCTTCCTTTAAGTTTGAGATTATTTTAATAAATTAATCAGTGACTGAAAAACAACGGTCTTAAAAAAAACACATTATTCGCATTTTGTCAAAGTTATTAACAGAAATAATTTATGGTGTAAATTAATTTGTATTTGACGTTTAATTAATATAGGTTCATCCAGCCCCGTGCGAGTTTATATGAGCGCTTTTTGTAGTTAATTCTAATAAAATATTGAAATAAATGTTACCTTGTTTTATTGCTAAGCGTTAGATATATTATCGTGATAGACCGAAATCAAGAGAATGTCGACTTTCACCAGTGAATGTCAACAATCACATAATCGCTTTGGTGAATGTCCGAAATAAATGTTATATCCGATTTGATATTAAATTATTCGTTGATATTATAACATTGATTCAATATTTTAATATCTGCTGAGGATAGATTAGGAGAAACATCAGTGCTCAGAGAATAGGAGAAATGTATACCGGGAAGTAGCACTAAGCCAGAAAATTTCTCAGTGTAGGGTATACCGGGCAACGACACTTAACTAGACCTAGTATATATTTTGGACATTTACCAAAGAGACTATGTGATTATCAGCATTCACCGGTGGAAGTCATCAACAACCAATTTAGGTCATTCACAGTAACGTAGATACTTCAGATTCAGTGTTTAGTTCTAAATATATGACATACTTAGTTTATAATAATCTACTAATCACTTGAAAATTTTAAATCATAGCATTTCCTTCAGTTTAAAGTACTTAAGTGATTTATTTATATTTTAACAATTAATTTTGAAGTTTATTCTTTAAATTGATTATGAATTTGGGTAATTATTATTTATGCTTCATAACAATATTTAAAGTAAATTCATTTTAAATTTTCATCTTTAAAAATATGTATACAAGATTTAAAAAGTCCTTCTGTTAGAATGTAAAGTTTTAAATTGCTTTAATCAATTTTAATTAATAGTTTCATAATTATTAGAGAAAAAAATGGCCATGAAGAATATGAACTTAAAATAATAAAATGACGGTTATTCTTGATTTTTGAACAATACAAAATAAACAAATAAAGAAATAAAATTATGGTCTTAAAGTTTATTTTTTTATGAATTTTACAGTTGCTGCCCTTTTAATTTTATTTTAGGCGTATAAACTATGTAATTATAATGTTTTGTGACGAAAACCTTTTTTTATTAATTAGTTCAAGTTTTTGTTTTATTATGGTGGATATTTAACCATATTCATTTTCATTATAGTAGATATTTTTTATAGTATAGTATATGATATTTTTTCTGGCTTTTTCGTTTTAACAATTCGGATTTTAATTTTAGGTGGAGGAGGTGGTGTACATCATACAGCTGTCGTGCAAGATCCTCTTTCAGGTGCTCCAGTTGTCGTATCTAAGGTGTCTCCTATTGGAGGAGTTAAAGGTGGTGGACTAGGAGCTGGTTCAGTTCAACTTTCAGTTGGAGATGGCCTTTTTGGAAACAGAGGACTGTACCGTGTTGGTCAATCTCAAATACCTTATGGACTCTTAGGCATGGACTACGGATCATATCCCGCTTCTTTACTCACTGCGCCAAGGTCACTTAGAAGGAAAACAATTGTTTCTGATAACTTGTCTGGACTCAGACCAGTTGGATTTGGACGTCGACTTGCAGGTCCCTCTAAAATTGGTGGTGGTGGAGCACTACACCACACTGCTGTAGTTCAAGACCCACTTTCAGGTGCTCCAGTTGTCGTATCTAAGGTGTCTCCAATCGGAGGAGTTAAAGGTGGTGGACTAGGAGCTGGCTCTGTTCAACTTTCCGTTGGAGATGGCCTTTTTGGAAATAGAGGACTCTACCGAGTTGGTCAATCTCAAATTCCTTATGGACTTTTAGGTATGGATTATGGATCCTATCCTACTTCCCTTCTCACAGGCCGAAGAGGACTAGGCAAAACAATTTTGTCTGATAATTTGTCTGGTCTTAGACCAGTTGGTTTTGGAGGAAAACTCGGTGGTGGGGGAGCTGTACATCATACCGCTGTAGTACAAGACCCTCTTTCAGGTGCTCCCGTCGTAGTTTCAAAAGTGTCTCCAATTGGAGGAGTTAAAGGTGGTGGACTAGGAGCTGGCTCTGTTCAACTTTCAGTTGGAGATGGTCTTTTTGGAAACAGAGGACTCTACCGAGTTGGGCAATCTCAAATTCCTTATGGACTTTTAGGTATGGATTATGGATCTTATCCTACTTCCCTTCTCACTGGCCGAAGAGGACTTGGCAAAACAATTTTGTCTGATAATTTGTCTGGTCTTAGACCAGTTGGTTTTGGAGGTAAACTCGGTGGTGGGGGAGCTGTACACCATACCGCTGTAGTACAAGACCCTCTTTCAGGTGCTCCCGTCGTCGTTTCAAAGGTGTCTCCAATTGGAGGAGTTAAAGGTGGTGGACTAGGAGCTGGTTCTATTCAACTTTCAGTTGGGGATGGTCTTTTTGGAAACAGAGGACTCTACCGAGTTGGTCAATCTCAAGTTCCTTTTGGACTTTTAGGTATGGATTACGGATCTTATCCTACTTCCTTTCTCACTGGCCGAAGAGGACTTTCCAAAACAATTTTGTCTGATAATTTGTCCGGACTTAGACCAGTTGGTTATGGGGGCAAAATTGGAGGTCTTGCCACTGGCGGATTGGCTGGGATTGGCGCCACGCAAACCACCATCGTGCAAGAAGAAGACCCATTTACAGGAGCTGTCACAACAAGCCAAATATCCCAAGTCGCCCAAGACCCAATCGAAACTGCAATCCAAGAAACTCTTGCAGATGCTGCCCTCAGCCAAAGCGTGCAAAGTTTGGTAGATCCTCTTGGAAGTGGTCAAACTCAAGTATCTGTCGATGACTTCGGTGGTGTCACTCAAGTTAAAGAAACAATTGTTTCAGATCCTCTTACTGGAGAATTAAATAAAGTAACCGAAGTGACCAAGAGTGGAGGAGGTCTCGCTCAACAAAACATAGCTGATGCCATCGTTCAGGAAAATATTGCTTCCGGTCTTGGAAGGGCAAATCTTGGAGCATATTTGCCACGATTGTCATTTTTATCCCAATACCCTTACGATTTTTCCGATGCTGGAGCTTTGAGATCAATTGTTTCCAGGCCTCTTATTCAGCAACAACAAGAAGTGGAACAAATTTTAGTGAAATAAAAAGTAACGAACTATGAAATCATTTTTGGTGCTATATACTTCATTTTAGAATAATCGGGCAGTCAATATTATGTGATCTACGTTATTATATATTTTTTTGTGTTGTATTTATTATACTTTGTACAAGTCACGCATAGCAATAAATATTTATCTACTTAATAATATGTATATTTCACACTAAAAATACCTTTTTTGAAAAAAGAAGCATACGTTGTAAGATTTGTAGAATTTTAAAGTTTAAACTTCAAATACTCCTTCCTGCTTTTTATTAATTCAAAACTTTATATTACCACCCTGAAAAATCAGAAATAAACTAAACAACGAAAAAGTGGATGAAGATGATTTTTTTTAAACAAGAATGAGGTTTAGTAATGAAAACTTTGATCTTTTCACAATTCTATCGTAATACAATATCTTTTTGAAATTTATACATGAGCATTTGGGCAAAATTATAAAGATGTTTCCGTGCTGGTGTTTATTTTCACTTGCTAGTATTTATTCAAAAATATTGAAATAAAAAAATTTTATTCTTCATAATCAATGCTTCAAATTGCTTTTTTCTATTTTATGTGAAGAATGAAATTTTTTTACTGTTTCACCAATCACAGCCTTAAAATTAGGTTTTATTAGCTTTTAGTCTATTTGATTTTTTAGTGTATGCATAAATAAAATAAAATAAGCAAAATTATGGTTATAACTAAATTGAATGCAACCAAAAAAAATATATTTTTCTTTGAAGTTAATGACATTTTGCAATACAACCGACGTTTTATCGAAATGAGGACAATTTTTCTTAATGTTCAAGTTCATTGATTAGTATGAATACTTCACAGATAGAAATATACAGCTACATCTATTTTTCCGAATCGTGTGACAAATTTTTTGATTTTATTCCTGTGGTTTTGGCAGTCTTTGAAGCACACCTTTTTTTCCATCGAGTAAAACATAGTCACCTGAAAATTAAAACATACATTATATTTTAATGTAATTCAAACGTGTTTTTTTACTCAATTCACCAGGTATTTAATTATCGCAATTAATTGCACTAAATCACCTTTTCAATTGAATTTATTCGAATAAATTCATGACATCTACTATGATGTGAGCAAATACCAATAACATAACGAACCAATTCCTAGCACAATACGAAAATAATTACAGGAAAAGTGGAAATTGCTTTTAAAAGTTTTAGTTTAGAGAGTTCGAATGTGAGCATGCCATAAAGTTAGTCCTCTTCTCCGTGTAGAATTTAATCCAACATTTTGAATTCATTAAAAAAAGGAAGTTAAACATTACGATCCAGTTTTAAAAAATTATTTTAATCCACTATCTTGAATTCATTCAGAAAAATACATTTTAAAATTACTATCCAGTCTTCGAGGTGAGCTTAATTTGACATCTTGAGTTCATTCAGATAAAGAAATTTAACATTACTATCCGATTCTCTGAGATGAACATATTCCAAAATTCTGAATTTATTCAGAAGGAGAAATTTAAACATTACTATCCAGTTTTCCAAGGAGAACTTAATCCGCCATCTTGAATTTATTCAGAAAAAGAAATTCAAACATTGCTATCTAAACCATTATTGTATTATTTTCTATGTATTTTTTTAAATTTTTTTTTATGCCAAATCGATGTTGAACAATTTTGCAAAATTATCATGAATGCAGGATGCATTTTAAAAACTATTCCTGCAAAATTTGTAGATTATTTCGTCAACATATAATCAATTTATACTTCATGAAATTTAAACTATAAATATTTTCCCCAAAATGATATTTTACATTTCTGTGGACATCTAAATAAATGTACAGAATATACGTACAGGATAGATATGAACATGAATATATGTACTCGAATAGTGGTACAGCTAGTTCGGCCACTGTCTATAAAAAGTGTCCGTCAAATGCTAATGTTTCTAAAATGGATCATCTTTTAAAACACAATTAAGTTTTCACTCTTATTTTATTTCATTGTCCTTAGATATATTTAGTAGTGAATTTATCAAAATTCAAGTTATTAAGTTTGTCGTTTCTCAATTCGGTCATTTAGACGGATAAATTTATCACATAGCCATTTGCAAATCCATTATTCTAAAAAGTATCAAAACAACAAATAAAATTTAGTTTAAATATCAATGTCTGAATTGTAGATGTTAAAACATAAAATATATGTTACATTGCGTTATGATGGCAAAAGCAATATGAATTAATTCTTAGAGCAGCATTTATCTAATTTCAATTTATGTATTTACCTGTTTTAAATTGCTTTGTGGCTCCTCGAAGTCCAACCACGCAAGGAAGGCCATATTCTCTACTCACAACAGCGCCTGCAATCGAATATCGAAAATAAAATAAAATTTGTATATAGACTATATGCCTTGGCTCTCTTATAAAAGTAATACTATCCGAGTTTTATGAAAATCGAAGTACTTGAATTTTATTTTATAAAAATATAAATATCTTAGTATCCATAAAAAATTCCCTATTCTTATAAAACTAGTAATTATCTAATTTTATAAAGAAAAAGTGTGGTTTGAGTTTTATAAAAATATTAAGACTACATGACTTGAATGTATGATTTAAATTTTTTAAAAGTAATATTATTCGAATTTTATGAAAATCTAAACAAGTGAATTTTATAAAAGTAGAAAAACACGAATCTTATAAAAATAATAATAATCGAATTTTATTTTAAAGAGACTTGAATGTGCCAATTATGACTTGAAAAAATATATAACTTGAATCTTATAATAATAATAATAACAATAAAAATAGTAATAATCAAATGTTATGTAAAAAATAAAAGAATTCTAGAATCTTATAAAAATCGAAATAGGTCAGTGTCTTATAAAATTAGGAAGACTCGATTCCTACAAAATTAATAATTAACAAACTGTATTTCCATACTGTTATTACTGTATTTTCTTACAGTTATTAGTATTATCTGAGTCTCATAAAAGTAGAAATAATCGATTCTTGTAAAATTTAGTATTTGTATGAAATGTTTTTTGTTTTTTAATGCATACTTACCAATGCAGTGTAGCTTGCCTGGCAACACTAATTCAACAAACATTACAAATCACTAAAAATGTAAAAATTTATATTGCCTTTATACGCTCAGCGAGTCATAAATGTATTCGCACGGATTCAGAATCAGGATAGTAAAAAATAAAAAGCTGTAGCTTAAGTTTGGGCATAGATAATTTCACAGATTTATTTTTGCTTTCACTTTAAATCTAACACATCCAATCCTTGGGTGTTAAAAGCGTAACTATAAAATTTTTAATTAGAACTAAGTTGTGGAGAATTAAATAAATCAAACTATTATTTCCAATCCCATAAAAAAAAAACTCCCACAAAAATAGTTTCACTACCAGTTTTATCTTTTTTTACCCTGATTATCGACAATCTGAGAATGCATATATGACTCGCTGGTCTCGAAGAGGTTAAGCAACAAAGAGCTAAAGTATGTCACTTCATTTAGACTGGTATAAGGTCGCAGAATCTAATTAGTATCTGAATTACTTGACAAACATTTCCTGTCGAAATTCGCTGTTCCGGAAAGTGTTAAACTCACATTCGAAATTATATCGAAAATAGTTCGAAAATTATACTCAATCAAAACATTAAGTTAATTATGAATATTTGATTAACTATTTTACCATGTGAGATGAGTCCTCCAAGTTCTGTGACAACACCAGATATAATTGGAAAATACGGACTCCATCCAATATCTGTACTGTAGGCTATTAAGATTTCACCCGGCTAAAAATATGATTAACATAATTAATGAAGATAAAACGATGCCTAAACGATGTTTTATATACACAAATTGTATTTGTAAAGAAAATATAATTTAAGATTTAAACAGATTATTCCGAAGCAGATTCAGAGAGAATTTTGTAACTTTTAGTGAGGAATATAAAGCATATGCTAAGGAATAGTTATTTTTGAAATTCTTCATATTTTAAATATATTGAATTAGTAATTTAAATGAATGAAGTATTGCTATTTTAAAGTCTTAAAAGCATTTGTCTTAAGAACTATTATATCTGAAAAACCTAAAACTAAAAACATTTTTCAAAGAATAAAATTTTTTTTAAATCATTTATTAATGGAATTTTTTTCTTGGAATAGTTGTAATATTTCAAATTCACTTTTATAAAGGTAAGAAATGTATATTTTCAAATATCAAAGCACAAAAAACGCAGATTGCAGATTTAAGAAAAAAATTTAAAAAATGTTTCTTTTTTCCAACTAAAATTATGCATTTATATGAAAAATATAAATTTTAAGCAAAAAAAAACCTTTAAAAAGATAGATTACTTAAACAAATTTAAAGTTTTATGTCAGAAACACATATTATGCATATATCAGTTAACATACTGGAATAAATCTTTTGTCAATTAAACTATATATATATATATATATAGAATTTGTATACTTATAGCAAAATGAAATCTAAAGATACGCATGTTAGCTTGTTTGTATTAATCATAGAAGTCTGCATAAATCCTCAAATAAACGAAATAATAAAAAGCATAAATGCTTGAGTGTGCTGTATTCCGTTCAGCTCCAAGTTCTACACTGTCTAGACA